TTTCTATCACTGGACCCAGTTTAATTGTGTTTTCTGTTCATGATGTCTTCCAGAAGGACCGTCAACATCGGTAGATGCATTAAGAATGCCACGGTCAACAGTTCGAAGTGGTCACAAACAACCCACCAATATTGAACCACTGCAAAGCCTACATATGTAAAAATATTCAAACGAAATACAGTATGCATTGTTGGTCTTGAATAAGGTGCGTGTCACTCCAATTTGGTGAATCTCGTGGCAAATATCGGGGTCGCCGATCTTCGTCTGATCCGTCGTGGCTCCGCTGTCAGATGTTTCTGTCTTGAGGAATGTGCCTTGTCACAGAAACGCGCAAGCTCGGATGAGTTGCTCACTTGGTCTAGGTCTCACATCTTGACGATAACGGAAAAGGGAGCCTTGGCTTGGATCATGGACAATCGGCGGGAAAGAGAGAAGATCAACACAACTGCGCCAATTGCAGGTCATAAACCTGTGAATCCATGCTACTCGAATGCCCAGGAATAACCTGATTTTTTTTTCCGCTTTCCATATCTCCACTCTAGCGGGTCCATCATTGTATCTCATCTTGTGCTTGTGGTCATCAGTGCCACACCACGAGCTCTGTTTCCCCATGCGGATTGCGCATGATGTTGTGCCGCATGCAACTTACATGAGATGCAGGATATAAGTACCATCAAGGCTAAGCTCAAGAGATACTAGGCCAGTCATGTCATAGCTTCATCTTCTTTCTATCCATACCGTTCCAAGATCTTCTCAATCTCACTCCCGTCACCGCCAATATGAAGTTCACAACCACCACGATCCTGACTACCGCTATATTAGCAGGCAGCTCTCTCGCAGCCCCTCGAAACGGACTTGGGGACCGTCTACAGGCCCGTGGCGCTCTATCACGCCAGTCACTACCCGCCGAAAAGAAAGGCGTTCTGCTCAAGGAAGGGACCGAGGGAGCCGATGTCCAATACAGCAAGAACTGGGCTGGGGTGGTGCGCGAGAAGCCACCCGCCAGTGCTACCTACACCGCAGTGTCTGCAACGTTCACCGTCCCCGAGCCAACGGCCACTGATGACTCTGGCGATATGCAGGCTGTATCCGCCTGGGTCGGGATTGATGGTGATACTTACACCAAGGCCATTCTACAGACTGGTATCGATGCCTATACTCAGAATGGCCAACGGACATTCGACGCCTGGTACGAGTGGTATCCATTAAGTGCAGAGAATTTTGACCTTGAATTATCCGCGGGCGACGTTGTCGTCGCGAAGGTCGAGTCATTTTCACCCAGCAAGGGTGTTGCCATCATCGAGAACAAATCGAGCGGTCAGAGTGTTACGAAGACTCTGTCTGCACCATCGAGCTCCGCAACCCTTGGGGGCCAGAATGCCGAATGGATAGTTGAGGACTTCAACGCCGGTAACACTATGGTTCCCTTGGTCAACTTCGGTCAAGTCGACTTTACCGGTGCTCAGGCCGAGGCTGGTGGTAAGCGATACGGTGTCAACAACGCTGCCGTGCTGGATATCCAGCAGAACGGCGATGTGAAGGCCCATGTGGAAATCCGGAGTGATACTGAGTTCTCTGTTAGCTACCAGTAATTCAGTATACATATCCACGGAGGCCTTTTGATTTTGAAGTTGATGAGTTTGGCGTTTTGTACAACGGATAATATTCAATGAGACAAGGACACATTTGCCATCAATAAACTGGGAGGTATGAGAGAGTTTTATTAACCTCAATGTACAGCAATATTCGAAATTGGCTTCCGTGCTTTACACAGAGAAACTATCTTAAGCCCCCAAGACAACAGTGAACCGTCTAGGCCGAACTAGGCTAGGCTACAGATCATCCCTGCTCGTCAGAATAGAAATGTAAATTACCTGACAAAACAGATACACCAAGGTCATGAATAATCCGCTGAACGCTTTCTGTCCTCAGTCTCCCGACCAAGCATATGTAATTGAAGCCCACCACTTCACCTTCAACATTACCAGCCACGCACAAAATGACTCCAAATCTGCCCTCTTCTACTAGAGAATTTATTCGCGATATGATCTTGAGCAAATCACTTACCACATCCCAGATCGCCGATGCCGCTGGATGCAGTGCGCGTTCTATCACCACCATGCGTACCAATCTGCGGCAATTCGGTGATACTAAGACCCCTCCTATTCGAGCAGGTCGACCCGGTAGCATCATACCGCCAATGCTGGAGGCTCTCTGTGATAATCTGTTAGAAAAGCCTAGTCTCTACCTCGATAAAATGGCGCTTTTTCTGTGGGATGAGTTTGGCACATCTAACAACATCTAACATTAGGAGAGCGCTAATATCCAAGAAATAGTCAAAGAAAACATCTCGACAGAAAGTAAGGGAACGGAATGCCGATCTACGAGATTACTATCTATACAACCTGTCCGAGTTCCGGTCGTACCATCTTGTGTATATCGACGAGTCTGGATGCGACAAACGGATTGGCTTCAGGAGAACGGGTTGGTTACCGCTTAGGATCGCACCGGTCCAAATCTCTAAATTCTATCGCGATCAACGGTACTAGACACTACCAGTATACTCTCAAGATAGTATTGTTATGTCACGAGTATTTCGGGGCTCGACCGACGCATCGGTTTTTGAAGACTTTGTCGAGGAGCTTCTCTAGCATTGCGGGAAGTAGCCGGAGCCTAGGTCTATTTTGGTGATAGATAACGCCTCTTTCTACCATTCTAATCATATAGAAAAAATGTGTTCTGATGCGGGCGTGAAGTTGATATACTTGCCTCCCTACTCGCTTGACTTCAATCCTATCGAGGAGTTCTTCTCTAAGCTCAAGGCCTTCATTCGGAGACACTGGGTATTTTATGAAGATAATCCTGAATAAGGCTTTGATAGTTTTCTAGAGTGGTGTGTGGAACGCGTAGGCGAAAGGCAACAAAGTGCGAAAGGGTACTTTAGGTATGTAGGCTTCAACATTAAGGAGATATGATAGGAACATATAGTCAAATATATCATTATCATTCAAACTCTAGTGTATCTCAAAAACTAGAGGCAATTGGTGAATATAATGATTAATAGTGTATTCTGGCAAATTATCCGCGGTTGTTTATATATTGTATCTATCTCTACTTCATAACTTAAGCATACCTGCTGCACATAACTTCGCCCACTAGATTATCAAGAATGTCTCTGCTCACCCGCGATTGCTGCCAGTTACTATACTCCTCTACCGCTACATCGTGGAGACCAGGAATATCGATTGGATCAGAGGTAGGGGCTATCGAGGTGATTGAAGGGGAACGGTTTGCGCCTATTACATCGGCCACGACTGGCTGAGATATCTGATTGGGGAGTACAGTGATATTAATTGGAGGGTATATTGACCTGGGCGGAGCATTAGCATAGCTTTTCTGCCTTATGGTTCGCTCATCATCCTCCGCAAAGAGCTGCTCACAAAGGCTGTCCGCAATATCATTATGCGTTTCAAGTGTCCCGCCTTCCTCCATAAATTTAACAAGACTTGTCAATTGATATATTCGTAGTTTAGAGTGTCTTTTCTCTACTGGATCTTTCTAACAATACTAACCGTTATAGCGATATGGCGGGCCAGGATATCGTATCATCTAATATACCTCTCGCTATACCGAGGGCTGCCCAGAGGCGTCTTCGGCATCAAGTTGCGCATCTCGATCGCTAAGCATTCGTTTGGTGACCGAATTTCTCCCCCTTTTATCGGTTCTCGACAACGGAATGCTGTCTTCGATATAGTTCACGGATATTTTAAGCCGAAGCTCCTTACCCTAGCGGTATAGACTAGCCCATAAGAGCAGGTGCTTTTCTATAGCAGTCCAATCCATATCCGTGCCGTCAAAGCGTTTAGTCAGGTCGCGCTGGGATCGGTCATTTACAGAGAACCACAACGGTCGTATCATCAGGTCTTATCCGACGGTCGCGGGAGATTTTGTCTCGTAGGATTTTATATACTCTAGCCTATATCTATGGCTAATAGAGGCTTGGAATTTGAATAAGATCTTGCTCAGTGTCTTTGACTATGACCCGACGATTGAGAGTGACTCTCCATTCGATCAGGTATTAGATACAGTCTAACGGCTAATCACCTAGCGTACCCCCTGCATTTTCTACTGCTTCTTTAAGGCGTACTCGATCCGGTTGTATGTGGCGTAATGGGGACGAGCATTTATCTGCCACTTGCTCCGGGTCTAGTGAAGTAAAGCCTGTAGAGGGGGCCTATGCGGGACTGAAAAACCCAGGAGTTGGGGCATGCGACGGCGTGCTATCACACGACTGAAGAAACCTAGTTTGGAACGTATCATCATCATCCGAAGCGGAATGAGGCATTTTCTAGCAGCAAATACTACTGAGGAACCTAGAATAAGGTCATCAAAAGTCCGTCTACAACAGGATCAAGTAAGAGTGATTGAGAGAGATCTGTAGCTAACAGGACGAGCAGAGGGATAAGTAAGATGATGGATTAAGTTAAGTAAGCGTTCTTGGTAGCCGTGACGAGCGTGAGTTGTAGAGAAGTAAGCGTTCGTATAACGGATGGGGCTTGTCGACAAGATATAAGTGAGCTTAGAAACCCTAGCAACAGGTGCTGGTAGTTTGGTCTGTTTGCTTAAGTCTATTGTTCTAGACCACGGTTCCTATAGGGATTCCACAGGAACTTCTCACACGCTATGTGGGAACAGGGGTTCGTGCGACTACGCAGCTCCGCTTTACACCACGCCGAGACACTTGCTAACTACTAGAAAAAGGCCCGCACCTCCCTCGACAACACGACTCTTTCGGTTAGCTTTGTGCCTTTCTCCACTTTTGATATTGAATTTCTGGCGAGAAGAAAGCCGCCACGTCAGTTATTCTAAAGATAGAATGAGCAGCTGACAAGTTTGGCGCCCGGGTCACCTAAGAGTGGGGCTAACGATGGCCTTTATCTAAGGGTTGAGAACTTTGGTCTGCCCAAAAAACCAAGCATCCTACGCATAGTGTGTTGACTATGACTTCAATATCGTTTGGTAACACAAATTCGGGCCTCCAAGCTGGTATCGTGAATGGCACGGTTAATGCGCAGTTCAATCTGCCCGCGGGTAGGTTTCAAGGGCCTGGAGATACGGCATGTTGACTAATCGCCGCTTCTTGGCCCAGAACGACCGGAAACCCCACCGACTCCTCTCTCGACCGTCCCGTTCCGTCGCGACCCAGACTTTGTCAGTCGGGACACACTGCTCGATCAGATACATGAAAAGATCTCAGCTCCAGGGTCTAGAATAGCTCTAGTGGGCATCGGTGGTGTCGGGTTAGTGCAAAAAAGGTAGCGGGTGGGTTACTGCTGACAGGTCGAAAGGAAATCGCAACTTAGTATCGAATACTCCTATCGAGTTCGATACCAGTCGCCGACAACATGGGTTTTCTGGGTTCATGCAAGCAACGCGGCCCGGTTCGAGCAAAGTTTCCGGGATATCGCCGACCAGGCCAAAATTCTCGGGCGTAACGATCCCACAGTCAACATCTACCAACTAGTCGAAAGTTGGCTCCGGAGCGGCCAGAGAGGAAAGTGGTTATTAATTCTTGATAATGTTGATGATGATGGGTTCCTTCGCCAGCCCTCTGCAACAGGTCAGCAGAGTCTGAAGGTTGGCCAAACCAATGCCTTCACAAAGCCACTATTGGAATTTCTCCCCCGAAGCCCGAACGGATCAATAATGATCACAAGTCGGAGCCAAGAGGTGGCGTTGAGAATTGTTCATCACCAGGACGTCATTAAAGTCGAGCCAATGGAAAAGCTCGAGGCGATAGAGCTCCTCCAACGAAAGGTCGGGCTACCAGCAAAAACGCCTGACATTCTAAAGCTAGTGGAAGAACTAGACTTCATGCCACTAGCGATCATACAGGCGGCCGGCTATATCGTACATCGAGCGCCCCGCTGTTCGGTATCGCAGTACCTAGAAATATTTCGGAAGAGTGATCGTTCAGCGACAAAGCTTCTTGATTATGAGGCAGGTCACCTCTTTCGTGATTGGGAAGCAAAGAATTCGATTCTAGTCACATGGCAAATATCCTTCGATCATATTCGACATATAAGACCGTCGGCCACTGATTTGCTTTCTCTCATGAGCTTTTTTGACCGACAGGGAGTCTCAGAGAATCTTCTCCGATTTCATGACGAGACACAAAACGACGATTCGAACTCGCAGGAAATTGCGATCGAGTACAATGACGAAGATACAGATAGCACATCTGAATCCAACATAGATCATAATTTCGAGGATGATATAGCTACCCTAAGAGACTTTTCATTCATCTCCATCAACAGGGACAGCACAGTGTTCACGATGCATCGGCTAGTGCAGCTGACTGTGCGTATGTGGTTAAACGCCGATAGACAGCTAGAGCGATGGAAGGAGCAATATATCATGATCCTGTGGCAAAGGTTTCCGACAGGTGAATATGAAAATTGGGTGCAGTGCCAGTCGCTCTTTCCACATGTGAAATCAGCTATGTCCCAACGACCGGAATCACACGAGTTTCTAAGAAAATGGGCTGCGCTGCTTTATAAGGGGGCTTGGTATGCACAGAAAATCGGGCATATTATGGAATCACGAGATATGGCATCTGAATCACGGAACCAAAGATTATCAATGTTTGGATTGGATAGTGAACAGACTCTCGAAAGCTCTGAAATGTTAGCAGAAGGTTGCCGGCTTGGGGGACAGTGGGAAGAGGCGGAGCAGCTCTTTGTGCAGGTTATGGAGACTCGCAAGACGAAGCTCGGGGCCGACCATCCTTCCACGCTGACGAGTATGGCCAATCTGGCGTCGACGTTCTGGAACCAGGGCCGGTGGGAAGAGGCGGAGCAGCTTTTTGTGCAGGTTATGGAGACTCGCAAGACGAAGCTCGGGGCCGACCATCCTGACACGCTGACGAGTATGGCCAATCTGGCGTCGACGTTCTGGAAACAGGGCCGGTGGGAAGAGGCGGAGCAGCTTGAGGTGCAGGTCATGGAGACGAGCAAGACGAAGCTCGGGGCCGACCATCCTGACACGCTGACGAGTATGGCCAATCTGGCGTCGACGTTCTGGAAACAGGGCCGGTGGGAAGAGGCGGAGCAGCTTGAGGTGCAGGTCATGGAGACTCATAAGACGAAGCTCGGGGCCGACCATCCTGACACGCTGACGAGTATGGCCAATCTGGCGTCGACGTATAGGAACCAGGGCCGGTGGGAAGAGGCGGACCAGCTTGAGGTGCAGGTTATGAAGACTCGTAAGACGAAGCTCGGGGCCGACCATCCTGACACGCTGACGAGTATGGCCAATCTGGCGTCGACGTATAGGAACCAGGGCCGGTGGGAAGAGGCGGAGCAGCTTGAGGTGCAGGTTATGGAGACGAGCAAGACGAAGCTCGGGGCCGACCATCCTGACACGCTGACGAGTATGGCCAATCTGGCGTCGACGTATAGGAACCAGGGCCGGTGGGAAGAGGCGGAGCAGCTTGAGGTGCAGGTCATGGAGACTCACAAGACGAAGCTCGGGGCCGACCATCCCTCCACGCTGACGAGTATGGCCAATCTGGCGTCGACGTTCTGGAAACAGGGCCGGTGGGAAGAGGCGGAGCAGCTTGAGGTGCAGGTCATGGAGACGAGCAAGACGAAGCTCGGGGCCGACCATCCTGACACGCTGACGAGTATGGCCAATCTGGCGTCGACGTATAGGAACCAGGGCCGGTGGGAAGAGGCGGAGCAGCTTGAGGTGCAGGTCATGGAGACGAGCAAGACGAAGCTCGGGGCCGACCATCCTGACACGCTGACGAGTATGGCCAATCTGGCGTCGACGTTCTGGAACCAGGGCCGGTGGGAAGAGGCGGAGCAGCTCGAGGTGCAGGTTATGGAGACTCACAAGACGAAGCTCGGGGCCGACCATCCCTCCACGCTGACGAGTATGGCCAATCTGGCGTCGACGTATAGGAACCAGGGCCGGTGGGAAGAGGCGGACCAGCTCTTTGTGCAGGTTATGGAGACGAGCAAGACGAAGCTCGGGGCCGACCATCCTGACACGCTGACCAGTATGGCCAACCTGGCATCGACATTTTGGAACCAGGGCCGGTGGGAGGAGGCCGAGCAGCTTGAGGTGCAGGTTATGGAGACGAGCAAGACGAAGCTCGGGGCCGACCATCCTTCCACGCTGACGAGTATGGCCAATCTGGCGTCGACGTTCTGGAACCAGGGCCGGTGGGAAGAGGCGGAGCAGCTCTTTGTGCAGGTTATGGAGACTCGCAAGACGAAGCTCGGGGCCGACCATCCTGACACGCTGACGAGTATGGCCAATCTGGCGTCGACGTTCTGGAAACAGGGCCGGTGGGAAGAGGCGGAGCAGCTTGAGGTGCAGGTCATGGAGACGAGCAAGACGAAGCTCGGGGCCGACCATCCTGACACGCTGACGAGTATGGCCAATCTGGCGTCGACGTATAGGAACCAGGGCCGGTGGGAAGAGGCGGAGCAGCTTGAGGTGCAGGTCATGGAGACGAGCAAGACGAAGCTCGGGGCCGACCATCCTGACACGCTGACGAGTATGGCCAATCTGGCGTCGACGTATAGGAACCAGGGCCGGTGGGAAGAGGCGGAGCAGCTCGAGGTGCAGGTCATGGAGACTCGCAAGACGAAGCTCGGGGCCGACCATCCTGACACGCTGACGAGTATGGCCAATCTGGCGTCGACGTTCTGGAAACAGGGCCGGTGGGAAGAGGCGGAGCAGCTTGAGGTGCAGGTCATGGAGACTCATAAGACGAAGCTCGGGGCCGACCATCCTGACACGCTGACGAGTATGGCCAATCTGGCGTCGACGTTCTGGAACCAGGGCCGGTGGGAAGAGGCGGAGCAGCTTGAGGTGCAGGTTATGGAGACGAGCAAGACGAAGCTCGGGGCCGACCATCCTTCTACGCTGACGAGTATGGCCAATCTAGCGTCGACGTTCTGGAACCAGGGCCGGTGGGAAGAGGCGGAGCAGCTCGAGGTGCAGGTCATGGAGACTCGCAAGACGAAGCTCGGGGCCGACCATCCTGACACGCTGACGAGTATGGCCAATCTGGCGTCGACGTTCTGGAAACAGGGCCGGTGGGAAGAGGCGGAGCAGCTTGAGGTGCAGGTCATGGAGACGAGCAAGACGAAGCTCGGGGCCGACCATCCTGACACGCTGACGAGTATGGCCAATCTGGCGTCGACGTATAGGAACCAGGGCCGGTGGGAAGAGGCGGAGCAGCTTGAGGTGCAGGTCATGGAGACTCACAAGACGAAGCTCGGGGCCGACCATCCTGACACGCTGACGAGTATGGCCAATCTGGCGTCGACGTTCTGGAACCAGGGCCGGTGGGAAGAGGCGGAGCAGCTCGAGGTGCAGGTTATGGAGACGAGCAAGACGAAGCTCGGGGCCGACCATCCTTCCACGCTGACGAGTATGGCCAATCTGGCGTCGACGTATAGGAACCAGGGCCGGTGGGAAGAGGCGGAGCAGCTTGAGGTGCAGGTTATGAAGACTCGCAAGACGAAGCTCGGGGCCGACCATCCCTCCACGCTGACGAGTATGGCCAATCTGGCGTCGACGTATAGGAACCAGGGCCGGTGGGAAGAGGCGGAGCAGCTTGAGGTGCAGGTTATGGAGACGAGCAAGACGAAGCTCGGGGCCGACCATCCTGACACACTGATGAGTATGGCGAACCTTGCTTATACCCTTAAGTCATCAGCTCAAGACAAAGCCGCTTTAATATTGATGGCTGAATGCGTTCGACTTTGCGACCAAAAACTAGGCCCGGACCATCCGCATACTATGTCTTCCAAATCCACTTTAACCGCATGGCGCGGGCAGAGTGACTCCCTATTTTCCAAGGTCACTAAAGCGTCGACTGAAACCAAAGAGGATAATCAAATCCTAGCCAGTCCCACAACAATCTCTTCGCGAGCTTCTAAACCTAGCGGATATCGTAGGCGCACAATCTTTTCGCGCCTCTTCAGCAGAAAGTAGCATTCTTCCCTGTTCAAACGCTCTGGATTAGAGCTTTGCCGTAGCGAGAGCAAAAGATAGGGGGAAAATTATCCAAAAAATTCCGTTATTGCAGCGATGAACAGTGGTTTCTCACAGTAACGCAGTTAGATATTATATCCGGCAGTTACTTTCTATCGCGTACTAAAAACATAGCTTCTGATAGTTTCTCTGTGTAAAACATGGAAGCCAATTTCGAATATAGCTGTACTTCAATTTATAAAAAGAAACAAATGATTTACCACATCATATTACTTCAGGGTGAGGCCACTGTCCTATGACTGATTGTAGAGGTTGAATGTGAACAAGCGGACACGAGAGACGGTGAATCGGTGAATCGCACTTTGTTTTCCCTCTGGGCCAATTATGAGTCATCGTGGTTGTCTGTTAACTTTAAGTTTTAAGATCTATTGACTTTTGAACGTCTCACATTCATCGTCTTTCTGCTCATCATGAAAATCCAAATAGAGTTGGCGCAATTCCCCGAAGACACCGATTCCATCCTATCGTTGTTTTCTGGCTATGCTGCATCTCTCGGCATCGATCTCACCTTCCAATCGTTCCAAGAGGAACTTGATTCCCTTCCTGGGAAATATGACCTATCGCAAGCGGGATGTCTCTTGATCGCACGGGCAGACACCGGTGTTCGAGCACTTAATATGAACGGATTGGTCGACTCGATACCTTCCCAGTTTCCCTCTGCCCTTGGATGCGTGGCACTCCGGCGTAGTTCCGATGGTTGGTGCGAGATGAAGCGTCTGTATGTTCTCAAGGAAGCTCGTGGAGAACGCCTGGGTGAGAAACTCGTCGAAGCGATCCTTGCGCAAGCCAGAGATCTGGGCTACCGCGGGATGCGCCTAGACACACTGCCTGAAATGACAGCGGCACAACGATTATATCGGAAATATGGTTTTGTGGATATTGCACCGTATTACAAGACTCCAATTCAAAGAACGGTGTTTATGGGTTGTGAATTCTTATGATCATGATACCTTCATTTTGTTGCGACCTGTTCTTTTTCCTAGCCAGAATGTATCACAAAGGAAAGACGGCAAGAAAGCAAATGTGCCCAACCATGCAGTGTCTGTCGATCATGTCGACCCAACGATCTTCAACCCCTTTTTAAGCATCCGGTATCTTCCGTTTCATCTCCGAAGTTGTGTACTTGAAGATTTGCTACGACAATCTAGATTCTAGTGGCATATATAAATCCACTTTCCCGAGGCGACTCGGAGATAAGTGTCGGGAATTTCCGAATCAGGGACACGGATAAGAGAACATAACAGTATAAGTATGAGAAATTCATCACAGGAAACCAGTCGATAAATCTAAAAGTCCTAGAGCCTCTTCAATATGACAGTATCAAACCAGCCTCTTGATGTCCTCATCATCGGCGCCGGCATTGCCGGTCTTTCAGCAGCTATTGCTCTCGGAAAACAAGGGCATCGCGTTGTGGTATGCCCCCAGAAACAAGTATCAAGTTTGCTATAACATCAGTTTCTCATTTTACTCAGATTCTGGAAAAATCGGCTTTTTTGAGGGAGACAGGTGCCGCAATGCATTTGCCGCCGAATTGCACTGCCTTGCTACGCTGGATGGGCATTGATCCGACTGAGTTCGGGGGCACATTGCTTCGTGAGGTTAGATTTGCCCTTTGATCGGTGAAGCGGTTTATACTGATCGTTTGTGCTTCTTCAGATGCACCGATATAAATCTGACGGGGAGTTGAAGTACAAGAGAGAGTTCGCCGACATTCGTCATCATTGGCAAGCAGTAGGCGAATGAAGCGGATTAAGCTCGGACAACGGTCTAATTTCATAACAGGAGTGGTACCTCGTGCATCGCGTTGAGCTGCACAATCACCTGAAGCAACGTGCCCTTGAAACCGCAACGCTGTATACACAGTGTAAAATCACCGAGGTCAATCTGGAAGGGGATTGCCCATCAGTCACTCTCGATGATGGTCGCACCTTCAAAGCTGACATGCTTCTTGGCGCAGATGGACTGCATGTATGAATATCACATTATCAACACCTCTTTTTATCCAACTCTCGTCCCTATTCTGACTGTTTTCTAGTCCCAAGTGCGCCGGAGTATCGCCCCGGAATCTCCCTCCCCATATCCCGTCGGCAAGTCATGCTTTCGTTGGCTTCTCTCCACAGATCAATTAAGGCAACATGCAAGCACTGCGGATTTTGTGCGAGACACTGGCGTGTTTCTTGAGTGCGGATCTGGTGACCGACGGCTTGTGGCTTATCCTTGCTCTGATAGCAAAATCCTCAATATTTGTGCTTTTGTCCCTTTGAATGAAGTTCAGGCAGATGACCAAAGTGACAGTAAGGGTGTCACTTAGGGGTTGACATAGAAAGACACTGACAGATTGGCATTGATAGGTTGGCAGGCAGCTGGAGACAAGACTACAATTGTCAAGGCCTTTTCTAAATTTTCACCCGGTATCCAGCAAATCATTGCAAACGCAGGCAAGGATCTCAAAGTATACGATTTGTACGATATGGAAGCACTGCCAACCTGGACTCGAGGCCACGCCGCTCTTCTGGGAGATGCAGCACATCCGTTCCAGCCATGTAAGCAACGCAGTAGCTTCAAACCGACAACGAATGTGTGACATACACTGACAACTCGATAGATATGGGACAGGGAGGGGCTATGGCAATCGAAGATGCTGTCAGTATTGCCACCTTGCTTCCTCGTGGCACCACACCGCACGATATCCCCATGCGACTTGATATGTATCAAACGGCCCGTCGGCCAAGGGTCGATTTTGTCCTCTACTACACTCGGGTGAATGGACGGGATGAAAATGATGCAGCCGGCGATAGAATGCCACGTAAGTTTGCTCTTATAGCCGAGGAGTATACTCGAGCTGACAATGATAGCTGCGGAAATGGTGAAAATCATGAGTATTTGTTTCTCGCATAATGAGATTGAGCACTCTACAAGCTTGCTGAATGGTACGCCAACAGATAAATGTAGGTAATGAATGGTAGTGCACTGTGGAAAAAATGGGATAGGACAGTACATGTGCTCTCAAACGGTTGGCAGTGCCTCGAGAAGTTGTACTATTTGCGACGTTCACACGGAATGGGCACTGGAGGCTCGCAGGGGTTGAAGTTTTGTTTGCCCAAGTAAGAGCCGAGATAAGAATCAATAAGATGCCTTGTTATATATAAAGTGACTTGTTCAGTCAGCGGTTGTTATATCTGAACTGTATATTATATACAACCTCAGGCATCAATTTAATGTCGGATTGGTCTGTATTGTAAATGTAGGGGTCCAATCAGTGGTATTCAACTCTCTGTATTTCTGTATCGGCTCTTGGTACAATTTATATGGAGCCATGATTACATAACATTAATTACAAAAATGTGTAGGATTAATAAATCCCCCGGTATGCCGGTCGTCATGCTCCGACACACCCCCTCAGCTATCCCAGTATGGGATTGCTGGACTTGTTAGATCGGCATATTGATCTCCATGGTTTAATTGACTAGGCCATTAGATAGCCTATGTCCACCATCCTGAGCATCCTTAGGAAGCTCTCATGCTTCTGGCGAGATAGCATCTTTGTGAGTCCATCTGCGACCATGCTCGCCGTCGGCACCCATCGCACCATTATGCGTCCTTCTCTAACCTCTTGCCGAAGCCAATGATGATGAATATCGACATGCCGAAGCTTCGTTTCGAAGGCAGTGTCCTCACTAGTAAGTAGGCTGATCGTTCTCTCGTTGTCGCAGTCGATCGTCATATTGTGGGAGGGTTCAAAACCGAGGCTTTTTAGTAGTCGACGCCACCATTGAAGTTGCTTCCCTGTCTCTGATAGGCCTAGCAGCTCTGCTTCAGTGGTTGACGTTGTCACGGTGGGTTGCTTGCTCGCTTTCCAGTCAACTGGTCCACCATAAGCTTGACAGATGTAGCCTGCAGAGCTCTTTCGATCTGGGTGATCTCCGTATGAAGCATCGCTTGCGAACTGTATGGAATCGATTCCAGTGCTTACTGCGTCTGCACTATATTCAATAGCTAGGTTCCGGGTAGTATATAGGTAACTGATGACCCGGTCAGCTGCTTGGTGGTGCTGGGGCCCTGGATTCGTCAAGAACTGAGCTAGTCGAGCGGTGGCCTTTGCAGCATCTGGCCTAGTGATAGTGGTGGCATAGCCTGCGGATCCAACCTTCTTTTGATAGAGAAGGATCTCCTTCGGGGTGGCTACGCCTTGGTAAGGCGTCAATTCGTCAACTGGTAGTGGCGTATAGACAGGTGGTCGATCTGTCAAATTGTAGCGGGTAGCAATGCTTGTCATATAGCTATCTTGACATAGCCAGAGCTTCTTCTGCTTCCTATCGCGAATGATTCGGATATTGAGAAACCATGATGCTTCTCCATGATCTGTCAGCTCCCAGTGGGCTTCTAGATCTCGCTCCAATTGCATGGCTCTTGCCTTAGCATTTGCATGGCTAGCAATTAAGATATCATCCACATAGAAGAAGACTATTAGCCCTTCTCCGACGAAGACACAAGGGTCTTCTGGTGCTTGTTGCAGACCTAGTTTTCGGAGTACACTAGCTGCTTCTTGTTGCCAAAGACGTGGCGAGATCCGTAAGCCGTACAATGCTCGACGAAGCTTCCAGCATTTACCTAGGGACTGGAACCCTTCTGGCATCTGCGTATACGTCGGTTTCTCTTGGCTTAGTTTGCTATTCAGAAATGCAGTGACAGCATCTCGCTGACGGAGGTCTAGGTCAAAGGCAGCGACTAGTGCAAAGATCATTCTTGCTGTTCTTGCTGCTAGCGTAGCAGCTCTCTTTTCTTCATAGGTAATCGTCTCAAGATCCCCACGAACACAGATTCGAGCCTTCAATTTCAAAAGGTAACCGTCCTGGTCGAATTTGTATGCAAAAACCCATAGTAAGGGAAGGATTTGT